CCAAATTACGCTTCTTCCACCTGGTGCTTGGATGAACTTTCAAAGATTCTTGAATGCATGGAAGACACTAAGAGAATTCTGCCAATCTTTTATGACGTGGATCCTTCCCATGTACGACACCAAAGAGGGAGTTTTGCGGAAGCCTTAACTAAGCATGAAAAAAGGTTTAGTGGAGATGTAGAGAGGGTAAATTGGTGGAGAGCTGCTTTAAGAAAAGCAGCTAATCTCTTCGGGTGGGATTCAAAACATGAAGAGTTTAGTGGAGATGTAGAGAAGGTGAATCGGTGGAGAGCTGCTTTAAGAAAAGTTGCCAATCTCTCTGGCTTAGATTCAAAGAATTATAAGTAAGCATGCAGGCATGAACAAATTGCCCATTTCTTAACAACTTTAGAGAGTTTACTTGGATGCTACATTTTAGTCCTTCCTTTGATGCAACAACCTTGTTAATTATATGTAATATGTACCCTCCTGATGGTTAGTTTACTTTTCTTCCTTGTAGGTGTGAAAGAGAGCTTATCAAAGTCATTGTCAAACGTGTGTGGGCCAAAGTGAATCCTACTACATTTAGGAGGTTAGATTCTCAAGAGAAGTTAGTCAGAATTGATTTTTCCCTTGAGCAACTACGTTTGCAATTGGATCTCGAGGCAAATGATGTTCGCTTTGTAGGGATATTGGGGATGGGCGGGGTAGGGAAAACAACCCTTGCTAACCTAGTTTTTGAAAGAATTTCCCATAATTTTGAACTTAGCTCTTTTCTATCAAATGTGAGAGAGGTTTCTGCAAAACATGGTAGTCTTGTTGATCTACAAAGACAACTTCTTTCCCCAATCTTAAAGGAAAATATTATCCAAGTTACAGATGAACGGTCAGGAATCTTTTTCACTAAAAAATGTTTATGCAATAAAAAGGTTCTTATCATCCTTGATGATGTGGATCAATTAAAACAACTTGAAACACTGGTTGGAGAGAAAAATTGGTTTGGTTTGGGGAGTAGAATTGTCATCACTACTAGAAATGAACGTCTACTAGTTGAACATGGTATAACGATACCATATGAGGTCAAGGCATTACATGATGATGAAGCTCTTGAGCTATTCAGTCAAAACGCCTTTAGGAAAAGTCAGCCTGAGGAAGGTTTCCTGGAATTGTCTAAGTGTTTCCTACATTATGCGAAAGGCCTTCCATTAGCTCTTAAAACTTTGGGGAGTTCTTTGTATATGAGAGATCAAGATACATGGAATAGTGTGTTGTATAATCTAAAGAAAATTCCTGATCCAGAAATTTTTGATTCACTCAAAGTAAGTTATTATGGACTAAAAGAGATGGAGAAGAAATTTTTTCTCCATGTTGCATGTTTCCATAAGGGGAAGCATAGAGAGCAAGTAATTGAAATACTAGACAGTAACTATGACATTTCCAGTCGTATTGTGATAGCTATTCTTATTGAGAAATCTCTCATAACTATTGTGAAAAAGCGCTCTCCTAGAAACACTGTTCAGATGCATGATTTGATACAAGAAATGGCATGGCAAATTGTTCGTCAAGAGTCTCTCCAAGAGCCCGGTCAACGCAGTCTTTTGTGGCTCCGCGACGACATTTCTTTTGTATTCATGAACAATACGGTATGAAGTTATGTAGAAATATTATGTTTGGAAGAAATTATATGTCATTTCTTTTAAAACGATATTAGAATTGAATGTGCAATTAACTTTTCATTTTGTCTTAATTATTAGGGAACGGGAGCAATTGAAGCCATTGTCTTACATTTTCCTGTATCAGAAGTGGTGCATTGGAATTGTACTGAAGCCTTGTCTGAGATGTATGGATTAAGGCTTCTTGAATTTGATAATGTGATCATTTCTTTAGCCCCCAGAGTTCTTCCAAATTCATTGAGAATTATTCGTTGGAGTTGGTACCCTTCCAAATCACTCCCATCAAGTTTTGAACCATGTTTCCTTGTCGAACTAAAGATGCATCATAGCAAGCTTTTCCGGCTTTGGGATGGAGCAAAGGTGAGAGATTATTGAAATACGGCGTTTAAGAATTCTTTTATATATATATATAATTTGGATATAAATGTAACTTGCTTAACTTTGTAAGGGTTTCTTCTATAAAAAATATATAAAAAACCTTATTATTCTACAATTTTTATGTACTGTACAGGACTTGCCAAAGTTGAAATGTATGGACCTTAGTTACTCTGATCAATTGACAAGTACCCCCGATTTCACAGGCATTCCAAATCTTGAGATTTTGCTTCTACAACATTGTACGAATTTAGTTGAGGTTCACTCGTCTTTTGCAGTTCTCAAAAGGTTGAAAGTTTTGGACCTTAGTTACTGCAACGGTATTAATAGTCTCCCAAGTGAGGTGGAAATGGATTCTCTTATAAACTTTAATCTCTCTGACTGCTCAAAAGTGAAAAAGATTCCAGAATTTGTGGGACAGATGAATAATTTGTCCCATCTTTATTTACGTGGGACTGCTATTGAGGAAATACCTTCATCAATTGAACGTCTGGTTGGCCTTACTACACTGGATATAAGTAATTGCAAAAGTCTCTTGGGTCTCCCGAGTGCGATATGCAATTTGAAGTGTCTTGCAGAGCTCCATTTGGAGGGATGTTCGGAAATTGACAAAATGCCAGGGGAGATGGAGAGTTTAGGGCTTCTTTATTTAAAAAGAACTGCTATGAGAGAGCCGCTTGTTGTTATGAAAAATCTTGTTTGTCTATCCTTTCATGGATCAGTTGCTAAATCATCAACTTCAAAGGATGGCTTATTTAGAAAGAGTCACCCTGACCCTGACCCTTGGGGTTTGGTGTTGTCTTCTCTGAATCGTTTATGCTCTTTGTCAACCTTAGATCTGAGTGATTGTAATATTGGTGAAGGAGCCATCCCTGATGATATTGGCTGCTTGTCCTCTTTAAGAGAGTTGAATCTTAGTGGAAACAATTTCGTTAGCCTTCCCTCAAGCATTAGATTCCTTTCTAAGCTTGAGTTGCTTGAATTGGTGGGGTGCGAAAGGCTTGAGCAATTGCCAGATCTTCCGCCAAAGAAATTCTCATTATTTGTAAATGTAGACAATTGTATTTCCTTAAAAAGGTTGTCAGATCCATCAAGGTTGAGCGGAGGAGCCAATGTGTATGATTTTGATTTCAGTTGTCTTAATTGCTTCAAATTGGTTGAAGATGAAGGCTGGATTCATAGAATATTTTTTATGATAATGAAAGCGTCCACTAAGGTACTCTCTCTCTCTCTCTCTCTCTCTCTCTCTCTCTCTCTCGTTGAATATTATAGTTTTCTTTCCCTTTTTTATTATTTTGTATTTTTATAAAAGAATATAGTTGTCTTTTTCTAAAACAAATAAATATAATGGTATACAGAAGATCTTTTCAACATATACCTCTATTATATGTCCTGGAAGTGAAATTCCAGAGTGGTTCAGTAATCGAAGTGGGGGAGATTCAATAACTGTGGAGCTGCCTCCCCAATCATCATGTAACAGCAACAGGCTTGGGATTGCTGTATGTGTTGTTTTTGAAGATTCTGAATATTTGGATAATCCCGCTGCCCTTCTTGGATATGATCATTTTGACATTCGATCATCTTTGGATACTCAACACTTTAAATTTGGGTATCTTAAGTCACAACACCTTTGGGTTTTTTATTATCATCCCCGCCTCAGGGATGCCTCAAGCAGTCATCGGTTTTCGTTCGAATCGGATTATTATTCAACGGGATCTTCGAACAGACTCAAAACAAGCTCGAATATAAAAGAATGTGGGGCCCGTGTGGTGCACGCGAGAGATTTGGAAGAATTCAGCCGAATACTCAAAATCCCCAAGCCAGCAGCACTACATGCATACCATGACGAGGCAGGCCCAGTTGGTACTAGTGGAAGTGGTAGCTCTCATGACGTCGATGTACCAAACGGCAAAAGATTCAAAAAAATCAAATATTTTGTGCAAACGGAAGTGGTTGAATCATTCAATGATACTTGAAAAGCTAATGCAGAAATAGTAAGTCACCTTTCTGTTCTTTTTTCTTTTCAGCTACTGTTTACTTGTTTAATTTTCTATGAAACTTGTCTGACTGACGGAAGGACACTATATATCTATCATTGTTTAATTTTTCGGTGAAGTATTTAATAATACTTGTCTCTCATCTATATATAATATGTCAGATTCAACCAAAAGAGATGCTAAGTTGTTCAGTTAATGATGAGGAAAAACAAGCAATGCATTCGTGGCATTCACAAAATTTCAAATTTGATTTCATCATAATATCTCCGTTTTTAGTTCTTATATTAAGTAGGAGGAGACAGAGTAATTCTTTTGTTACATCTTGTTTGTATAGTTTGCAGGATATGCTGTAATTTTGTGTTTCTCTAATGGCCTGGTTCTTACCGTCGAACTTGTGCTACTATTTAAATTGCTCTGTCAGTTTTTATTGTTTCAGAATGAAATGGACATAGTAACCATAGAACATCTGCAAATGGTGCCTAACTGAAGCATTTAGAACCGCACACTACTGAATGAACATCAGGTTTTATTGGTAACTCAGGAGGCATCTTATTGTGCTTAAATAAAATGGTTTCTGCATATTGTATATGTTGTGCTCTAAGAATATAATCTTATTAAGTAGTTTTGTCTGAAAATGGATCAAGCCTGCATGTAGCTACTTTTATCAATGTGTTAATTAAAAATGATAATTTCTCCTATGTTGCAAACAGAAAACAACAGAACAAATCCTAAAATGTATATATGCTATAGAATTACAAAACTAACTTGTGCTCTGATTCCAGGACTTCATTTTTCCCTAAATTGTTTGCCCTTTTTCTACGTTCGAGATTTTCTGAGTGGATATGACTTGGATTAACTTGTTAATTTCAATGTGTTAGAATATTTACTTCCTATAGGCCTCGAGTACAAGAACATTTTCAGAGCAACCTTTCAATGCTGTGCTATCAAACTTTTGCTATAGTGAAATAATGTGTGGAAAATGTTAGTATAGTTCTGAATCTTCTGACCATAGTTACCCAAATCGCTCACCCCCCTTACGAATTTCGAACTGGATCGCATGTACCGAATCGTGGTATGTTAGCGTTCTGGAACGAAACATTTAGCGAACCAAAACTCATAAGGATTAGAACAATACCTGAGCGACCTTGCTGCCCAAACTCAATTGGTTGTTCCAATCATCAACTTAATAGGGTGGTGGAGAGCGATAGAGGGAGCCATGAAAAGAGAGAAACATGGAGAGAAAGCGATGGAAAGAGTGAGCCATGGAAACAGAGAACAATGTGTTAGAATATTTAGGCCTCAAGTGAATGAACATTTTCAGAGCAACCTTGCAATGCTGTGATACCAAACTGCTGCTATAGTGAATTAATGTGTGGAAAATGTTAGTATTGTTCCGGGTCTTATGACCAAAATAAAAAAGGGGAAAATAGTTAATAATGACGAAAGAATGTGTGTGAAAAATCTAGGAGAAATTGATGAAATTAATAAGAGGCAGAGAGAATTGTAATTATTGTAAGTATATCTCCTATGTTTCCACTATATTGAACTGAGTAAAGTATTTCCTATAATATACAGCTTCTGTAGATTTCTCTAGAGCTAAGGTTATTTACAAGGAATATGGAGATATGAATCAGCAGTTTTCCTTAAGTTTCTAGGGGAATGTTGAGGTCTTGTTATTGTGAGGTCAGCACCATGCTTTAATGTATGCTCTTGGTTCAGCTGACTATCAGTGTGAAGGTTAAGAAATGAAAATAGCTAGGCTAATGGCGAATACAAGAATAAAATATGTATCTGTCTTAGACATAACAAGAAGTTTAGAAATAAGATTTATTTGCTACTTTAATTCTCAACAGAACATATGAAGTATTGAAATGAGGAAGGAAATTTTGGTGAGTGAAGGAAATTTGCTACTTTATTTTGATTGCTCATTGCTGCTTTACAGTTATAGCTGCTTTTGGATTTTGCAGCAGGCATGTAAATTTGTATCTTTGCTGTTATTTAAATTTATTTCGATATAAAATCAGGAAAGGAGAGGTGGTTAGTTCATAAGGGAAGAAAGAATAACAGAGGAGAGGCAAAGGGAAACGTGAGTTAGCTTTACAAAAACATTAGCAGAAGTGGAGCAATTAACATAATTAAATTTTGAAAGGTGCTGGACATAGCCTAACGTGGTTAAGTAAAATCAGCTTATTTTCATTGCTAATTGCTTATGTTGTATCTTTTATAATGATTTTCCTTTCTTAATTTCATTTCAGTTCTCTGGAAAAACAGTGGCATTATCAGCTTGGGAAGAATTGGCAAAGCCAGAGTTGAAGTACTCGGAATACTATCCAAGTTCCATGGAGTTGGTTAATGCGTGAACTCTTATCACTTCTGAGGAGACCAACAACATAGTTGATTTTGAAGTCATTGATGCTTTCCAAAGGGTGTTCTCGTTAACATTGGAAGAGACCTTCATGTTGATGCACTGCTGGATGGTTTCTGCTGAAATGGTTAGTAACTGAAGCATTTAGAACATGGTTGGTAACTTGGGAGGTATCTTATTGTGCTTAAATGGTTTCTGCTGTAGGTTCAAGTCCACTCCACATGTTGTATATGTTTGATACAGTTAGGCAGGTCATCCCCAAATTTGAGATTTTCTTTAACTTCAAGTTGTGCTACTTCAACCAATGTGTTAATTAATATGGATAGTTTCTCAAGTCTCCTATGTTGCTAACAGAAAACAGCGTATCATTTTTCCTTCTGCACTTACGTCTTCTTTTGGTGTTTTCCTGAATTGTTTGTCCTTTTACTATGTTCGGGATATATTCTGCGTGGATGGTCCTTGCTTATGACTTGGATTAACTTGTTAATTTCAATGTGTTAGAATATTTACTTCATATAGAGCCTCGAGTTAAATAATGTGTCAAAAATGTTAGTATAGTTCTGAGACTTCTGACCAAAAGAAGGGAAAATAATTTTTTTAGCAAAATGAAATAATGTGTGGAGGTTACTAATTAGAATAGCTAGGCTAATGAAGAATACAATAATAATATATGTATCTATTTAGGTATAACAAGAAGGTTAGAAATAAGAGTTATTTGCTACTTCTAATTGTAGACAGAAAATTTGAGCAAGTTTGGTAAGTGAAAATATAGAATTAGTCTATCAATGCTTAGGATTATACCTGCTTTTGGATTTGAGCATGAAAATGTGCATGGTGGTTTTTTTTAAAATTAGGAGAGGTAGTTAATTCATAAGAGAAGAGAGAACAACAGAGAGGAAGGAGAGGCAAAAGAAAATGTGATTGTTAGCTTTACAAACAAAAATTAAGCATCTCTCAAACTGCAGAAAACTGCACATAGCCTGATGTGGTTAAGCAGAATAAGTTGTTTTATTTCTTTATGTTGTATCTTTTGTAATGGTTTTCCTTTCTTATTTTAATTGAAGGCTATGGTGATGAAAGGAATACTAAATCTGGTGAATACGGAAGGTGCTCAAGTTGTAGAAAAACAGTGTTGGCTTGTTCTGCAAGGCTGGTGGATGGAGGACAGCATAAAAGCTTTCTGGCCTCCCCTTTTTTATCTCTGCGAGTGACAAACTTGTTGGAACTCCTCTACAAGTTTGGCCTTTTGTGCTCCTTGTGGCAATGAACTTTCTCTTGTAATGATAAAACAAATAAGAAAAGGAAATGCAAATATGGGGAAAGACAAATGCAGCTAAACCTCCCAATCCAAGAGCCATCTCCACTATCCTGTTTTTCTTCATGAGAATGATCAACAGAGATGCTGTTGATAATTGAATCATCTGATGAAGCGCACAGGTGGATGAGGCCCAAAAGTCTTGAATCTCGACCTATTCACAATGTGAAATTGATCATGGAGGGCAGAATCTGTTGCATTATCTGCAATGGCAGTAAGTGAGTAATCAAAGCATAAGACTTCAACAAATGAGGATGTAGCTTTCCTCTCGGTTTGTACTAGTAGTCTATGATTCTTAATATATTGTGCACGTTTCAGTTTTTTCTCTTTTTCTTTTTTTCCAAAGCATGTCTCAGTTAAACTATTATTTTTGTTACGTAATTCTAATCTTCATCCTTAATTTTTAAATTGCGCTATTTTGGAATGAACCTCAACTTCCTTCATTGTATTAGAGCTTCACTTGTTGGGGCCCAATGACCACACGTGCTCTGACATCACCTAATATGTGTTGTCTACGTGTTAGGCTTCCTACATTAAAAAGTTAAGGTACATAACTTAGGTTTATAAAGAGTTCAGCTACTCTCTCATTGCCAATTAATTTTGATGTACGACCTCAACTTTCTTCACACCTCTGATATTGGGCCCAGCATATTGTTTTGTTGGACTTTTTTGGGGTCGAATTGTTGTGTTTTAGGATAGCGCTTCTATAATGCAGGGCCTTGGATAAAATTGAATGGTCAGCTTTTAATATTGTCTTTTTGTTATAACCGGGTTGAAATTACCCGTACCAAAAGTTACAACCCGAAAGTGCAAAGCACGCTCTCTCATCCTTGTTAACCCTCCTCCCTCGCTCGCAAGCCAACAATTCTTATTTTTTTTATCTCTCGTCATCTCTGGGAAGCTTGTAGTCGCAGATCTGGAATAGAAGAGTCTTTGATTGAAAGCACTGTTGGTGCAAAAGAATGGGGTTGCTGGCTTCTCTTCCATTCTTGAAATTTCTTTTTTTGTTTCAGATCTGTTTATCTAAAAGAATTGGGTTGCTGGGTGCAAAAGGACGGCGGCGATGGCAAGAGTTCTTCAATGAAAAGAGTCCTTGTGGATCAATATGCTTGATCCTTGAATTACTTGGATTTTTTTTGGGGTTAGACTAAACGGGAAATAATATAAAATTAATTGGATTTTTGTGTGGATCAATATGCTTGATTCCTAAATTACTAAGTTTTTTGAAATTAATTAATGAAATTAGTGAAATAATATAAATTAAAAAATTTATGACGGTTTGATAAAACAAATGCCACGTATTGTGATTAAACAAGGACACTCAAAGATAATGTTGATTGTCTTTGTTTCCTACTGTGAATGTTCTCCTCCGATTCCTTGCGGCTTTGTCTCGATGTTGGATCTTCTCCACCGTGTTACGTTCTGGAGCGTCTCTCCTCAGTAATACTATTGCTGTTGAGGATGCTTTTAAAGTGCATTTGGCACTTACCTCTCGGATTATGGTAGCGCTCTCTGTAGCTGTGATGGCGTATCCATCACCATTTCCCTCTCGGTTCTTTGGTTTCTGTGACTTCTCTGGTGGTTTTGGTCTTGCGTTGGGTGCCTTGCCAATTGGTTATTGGGGGTGCGGCATTTCTCAGCTTCCTGTTTTACGGGTTTTCTTTTTGTTTCTTGGCTTTTGTTGTTCTTTTTAATTTGACTGGGTAAGAAGCTTGGTTCTAGCCTTGAACTGAGGTCTAGCTGCTTCTACCTGGTTCGTGTATTTCTGGCTCAGTTTGCAATCTATCCCGTTTTGGTTTCTTTGAAACCAAACATTGACCAAAAAAAAAAAAACATTCCCCACTTCAATTATTACTCTCCAATTTTTCTAAGTCAAAATTTGATTTTGGCCCTTCAAAATTGAAGATAATATTGAAAGGAGTTTATAGCAATTTCTGTGGAATTTTAATGCAATTTTTAAGATAAAAAAATATGAATTATACATGACACTATAGTAGGAGGACACCCATTAGAAACATTGACATTTTCTGATTTTTAATTAATTTTGTATGAATTTTTTTAAATAACCAATAAAAAATAATTTAAAAAATTACACCTTGGCTCCATTATAGATGGACACACTTCAAAAATCAATCTCCATGTGTGTTCCCTAGGGGATGAATATTTTTTGTCAAAGTCATAAAATCAATCTCCATGTTTTTCCCTAGGGGATGAATATATATATTTTTTGGTCAAAGTGGACTTTCATTCATAAGTAAGGATTAGAAATAAAGTCCAACATAGCAAAGATCTAAAAGCCCCAAAATAAACTAAACCCTAGCAACTAAAACAAAACAAGAAAATCAGGGCCAAAACAAAACAACAAACTTTCAAACCAACAAAACAAACAAGAACCCCAAACCCACTGGAACAAAGCCTTAAAATTGGTAAAACATAAAACCAGGAAATCCCCAATAATGAACTCCACTGCGACGCACTTCGAACCCATCAAATCCAAATTCGCATCCAAGGTAACATCAGCTACACATCAGACGAAACCGAAGGCTAAAGCCAACCCCATAGCCAGTAGAACTAGCAAGAACCAATTCGTGGAAGGTGGTGGTGAGAGCACCCAAGTCGAAACTATACTAATCTTCTGATTACGACTCGAACATGCGTGCTGTGGATGAATAGCTGCAAGCTTGGATTGAGGTTGGAACTAGTGAGGAAGGAGAGGAGTAGAGCAAGTGATATGTGCAAGAGTGGTCGGGATTTTGGGGATGAGGACCATGGGGATGAAAGAGGATGAAAAATCAATATAAGAGTTAGAGATTTCTGTGAAATCCAGGGCTAAAAGGGGTTGGAGAGGAAGGAGAAAACAGAAACAACGTAAAAGAAAGCGCAAAAAGCCTTGGACTACTAAGACAGAGCTAAGAGAAACACTCATTATGGGTGGGAAATTGCCACCAACTCTCAAAACTAGGAGAGAGACAGAGCAAATGGGAAGATTATTTGAGATTGTTTCCCTAGGGGATGGGAAATGAAAAATTCCCATTAAGAAGTTCATTAAAAGCTAGCTCAAAATTACTCGTTTGTGCTAAAATGATGTATAAATATGTAATAATTTTTTTTTTTGGTGAAAAAAAAAAAGGTGGCAAGAGTGCAACCTCTCCAGGCGAAGACTGCTATGGGTTTAGCCTCTCCCCAGTGGGTGTTTTTCACAGAGTGGGATTCGAACGCTGGACCTCACTGAGGCCAGCTAACATTCGCCCACTGTGCAGGTACAAGCCAGATTTCCACTTGGACCAAACCCCTTGGGTAATATGTAATAATTTTGAGTTCCATAAATCATACCATACAATGTTCTCTTCAAAGATTCGTTACAAGTGTATTTAGAAATAATAACCAATAACCCATGTAATCAAGTAGAATAGACAGATTTTGGGAGGTTTAAGGATATTAAAATAGCGTGGGAGTTGCCGATGGGTTCCCACCACAGTGGTGGTGAGGTTTCTTTCCTTCAATATAACCAAAAAAAAATATAGTGTGGGAGTCCTATTATAACTCCAATACCCCTTCTTTTTGTAGGCAGATAAGTATTAACGCAACTACACAATTGGGTTTGTTAAATATTCTAATATCAAAACTGAACTAAGAGTGCAATTACTTATAACTCAAGCCATTAACTGAGCAATTATGTGTTCAATTCCCTCGGCATCAGTAAGATTAAGAGAGAGAGAGAAAAAAAAAAAAAAAAAAAAAAAGAAAAGAGAGAGAGAGAGAGAGAGAGAGAGAGAGAGAGAGAGAGAGAGAGAAGCTCATTATTTCCTTTCTATAGTTGGGTGACGCGGTTTTCCTCCTCTACAGCGCCCTCTCCTCTCTTTCATCTGAACTTTCTTGTGAATTAATTAACTTGAGTAAGCAAACATGGACCAGACCAAAGCCAGTCACTTTGGTAGGAAAAGAAAAAGGTGAAGAAAAATGACACATCCCCAAACCATAGAAGCTTTCCTTGAAATTTCCTTTTACTTTTTTGGTGGAAAACATTCGTCCTTTCACTTTGTAAAACACTTTCACATTTTTCCTTTTTTTTTTTTTTTTTTTCACCTTGACCTTTATTCTGCGTGTTGAGCTCTTTCTTGGGGATTTCCTCATTTCTTCTTCATTTCTTCCTCATTTATCCGTGGTTCAATAATTCCAGTGTACTACAACGTTTCATCAGCGTTTTGTATGTATTGATTTGATTCCTTACTAATAGTTTTTTTTTTCTTTCTTACATGGTTTCATTAGTGAATTAAAGTTTTATCTTTTTATTGCTTTCGCAAACCGAAGAAAAAAAAACTATTACTTGGAAGGTGGTAGGGTATATATATAATATATATATATAAAAAAACACCAACAAAATAAGAAAACAGCTTATATGAAAAATAAAATAAAATAAAATTAGTGAATTATCATTTCTGTAAACAGAGAAGGAAGCTATCTGTATATCAGGGGAAACAATTAAAGTGGACCCTTATGGGTATTATTGGACATGTTCAGAGTTAAGCTCTTTCTCGGTGGTTTCCTTGTTTCTACTTTTAAGTTTGTGGCACCACTTGTAAATTTTCTTTTTCCTCTTGAGGGCCTACAATTTGACGTGAGAAAGAAGACCAACCGATTCTACCAATTCACATAAGACAAGACTCACCACACCGACACCAAAAAATAACTAAAAAAGAAAACAAAAAAGAAACCGTGTTGTTTCTCTCGCTCTCTCTCTTCCATTATTTCCTTTCCTGCGCATATCCCATCCCTCCTCTTTTCATCTGTTCCTTCAACTCTCGGGTGAATATTGTATAATTTTTTTTCATTTTCTGCTGCGAACTTGTATCTTTTATTAATTTGTATAACATGCAATCTACATGCAATCTATAACATGCAATCTATATTTTTCTGCTGCGAGTGTCGCCCTGCCCTTCAAGCCCAAAGTGAAGCAGGTTGATAATACAAAGAGGGCATTCAATGCACCTCCCATTCCTATTCTCCTGCCACTCCATCCCCTGATCTCTGTCAAGGATGTGGGTGAAACAGAAGCGTAACATTAAATGTAACTCAACCAGGGAGATTGAGAAAGAAGATCTCATTCACCAAAAGATCTTTATGACCTTCCTCCTTTTATAAATACCCATCACCAACCTTTGGACAAAGGTAATAACTTCTCTAATAGAAAAAGACCCCATTTCCATTATCTCCAAGCCTTCACTCTCTCATTCTCTTCCTCTCGAACGACTGGAAGACCTCCATGGCCGTGACTAGCTCGTCGAACTCGACGGTGGTGCCGTTTTCGTTGGCAAGAGGACTTGGAGCTGGTAGCTGGTGGACTTGACGCCAAGAGACCAGAGCAGGTCAGCGAGCTCGAGCTGGGTGAGGCTGCCGTCGGAGTTCATGTCGAATCGCATGAAGATGTTTTTCAGCGGCTTCTGCTGATTGGAGCCGTGCAGCCATCGTTCTGGTAATGGCCAAAGAAGAAGAAAGGGATGAGATAAGATCCCAATTGCGTTCTGGGCACTTGGGCCTTTTAAAAAAAAAAATAATTAATTTTGTGGTGTGGTAATTGGTTTGTGAAAAGTTATGGTGTGGGGCTAATTGGCTTTTTTTTTTTGTTTTTCCCTTTGAAAATTTGGAAAGAAAGACAGACAGCCAGGAAGAAGATGGGAAAGGCAGAGGTAGGAAGAGAATATAATTTTTCAAAATAAATAAATTTGAAATTATAAATTATTTTTTTACACATCAGCCCCAATTAAATATTTCTAATTAAATATAAATATTTTTCAAGTCAAAATTCTTAATTAAATTTAAATATTATAATAATGAATTTTTAGTCCGACACAGCACCAAACATAGGTCTTCACTATTTTCACAATCCAGCTTCTTAGTCCGACGCAGCACCAAATGTAGGTCAGTACTTAATCCAGCTTAGTCCAATCCGAGCTAATCCGAGACAGTCCCAGGATTTAATCCAGTCCATGACAGTCCGCCGTACCAAACGACCCCAAGTGTTGAACTAGCTAGGTACTATTCAATATCAATTAGCTCTTATCCAAAGGATGAACACATTTCGGCACAACTTCCTACCCTTTTTTTTTCTCCATGAATTACTATCATTATTATTACCAGAAAAAAAAATAAAATAACAATCACCAACAAATCCAACAGGGTTCTATCTGTGCACCCCTCCTTTTAAACCCAAAAATAAAAAAATAAAAAATAATTACATTTCTCTTTTTATTTGCATATTAGAGAAGTAAATAGTTTTGCTAGGGCTGCCAAATGGGGCCATGGCCATTGTAGTTGCTGTAGACCTTGTTGATTGGGGTTCTAAAGCTTTGGTTCAAGAGGTGTGTGGTTTATGAGAGAAAGAAAAGCTATTTTGATTATGAGTTGGCTCATTTAAAAAATAATAATAATAATAAGTGATTTGGAGATGAAGAGTTGAGCCATTGCAAGGGCGTGTTTCTTTTTTCTCCTTGCTGAAATTTTTTTTTTTGGTTTGCTACAATAAATTGAGATTAATTATTGTTTCCCCTTCTCTCTCCTCTATTTTTTATTTATTCTTCTTTCTCTCCTCTCGGCCAGTTTTCTTCTTCCTCTTTGTTTCCTTATCTCTTCTTTTTTTCCTGCCCTTCTCTCTCTTTCTCTCTCTCCTCTTTCTTCTTTTCTTCTTTCCACTAGTATTCTTCTGTCCTGTGGGAGGAAAAACAGAGGGGAGGGTGGGGGAAACGCAAGGAAAAAAAAAAGACTCTATGTTAAAGTGGTTAAGTGAGATGCCAGGTGTCAAAAAAATAAGGTAGGGACAGGGAGGGACACACAAAAACACGGACAGAGGATCTGAACTCAGCATATAGCTACCTCAACCAACGAGTTAATTAGCACTGATAGTTTCTCAAGTCTCCCATGTTGCTTGCTAACAAAAGTGCATAATAAATCCTAATGTATATGTCATAGTTTTAACTTGTGCTACCTCAACCAACGAGTCAATTTAAGTTTTGATCATTTCTTAATTAGCAAATCCAAGTTATGTCTTCAATCCAAAGTTGCCCAAAGCTCAACTGAGCTCATCAGCAACACCATTAAACATGGCCTAACTCACAAATTAATCCCTATTGACTAACTATACAATTGCGTGTGTAAATCCAAGTCATATCAAAACTGGAAAAAGCAAAACAAAAAAACTGGATTTTCTCATAAATAAAAAGTTGGGAACTTGCTTGGAAATTTGTAAGTACCCGATCACTTTGTTGAGAAAGGAAGTTTCCTTGAAATTTCCTTTCACTTTCTGGGTGGAAAACATTTGTCATATCACTTTTATAGTACATTGGCTCTACCAGACCCACTGGCTCTACCACCCACAGAAGAAAGTAGAAAGCGTGGTCACTACCTCTCTCTGTTTTTTTGGGTGGGTTTTGGTTGGATTGGTTCTTGTGGTTGTTTTCTTGCCAATTCTCTGGCTTTGTGATTTGTTAATTTGTTGTTCTGCTGAGCTATTGTTCGAGTTGGTGTGTTTCACTTTCATTGATCTCGAGTTTGTTTTGCTGGGTATTTGCTTTCTGCCCTTCTTCTCTTCTGCTTAATACGTTTTCAATTACCAAAAGAAAAATTAAAGCTGCCATTTTTTTTTTCGTAGATCATTTTCTCTTTACGTATTTACTGAGTGTTTGCAGAACCAGATTTCCAGGAACTGTTTTTCTCCCATGGCCTTGAGCACCCACAGAGCTTCTACATCTCGTACTTCAGCTGAATGGGCTCCTCCTCGATGGAAGCATGATGTTTTTCTGAGTTTCAGGGGCGAAGACACTCGCAAGGGTTTTATCTCTCATTTAGACCATGCATTGGCCTACTGGCAAGCAATGAGAACTTTCAAGGACGATCGAGAACTTGAAGTAGGAGCAACTATTTCTCTGGAGCTGTTGATCGCAATCAAAGAATCGTATCTTGCCATCATTGTTCTCTCCCCAAATTACGCTTCTTCCACTTGGTGCTTGAATGAACTCTCAGAGATTCTTGAATGCATGGAAGACACCAAGAGAATTCTGCCAATCTTTTATGACGTGGATCCTTCCGATGTACGAAACCAAAGGGGGAGTTTTGCGAAAGCTTTCACTGAGCATGAAGAAAGGTTTAGTGGAGATGCAGAGAAGCTGAATCGGTGGAGAGCCGCTTTAAGAAATGTTGCCAATCTCGCTGGCTTAGATTCAAAAAATTATAAGTAAGCATGCATCCATGAAAAACTTGTGTGTGTCTTAACAAGAGCCCTACTTGGATGTTACATTTCAAGTCTTCCTTCAATACAACAAACAACCTTGGATGTTATATTTATGGATTAATGGTTATTTTTAATACTCTGTAGGTCAGAAGCAGAGCTTATCGAAGACATTGTCAAACGTGTGTGGAAGAAAGTGAATCCTACAGTCACGTTGTTAGATTCTCAAGAGAAGTTAGTCGGAATTGATTCTGCACTTGATCAACTACACTTGCATTTAGCTCCCGAAGAAAATGATGTCCGCTTTATAGGGATATGGGGGATGGGCGGGGTAGGCAAAACAACCCTTGCTAAATTAGTTTTTGAGAGAATTTCCCATCATTTCGAGCATCGCTCTTTTCTACCTAATGTGAGAAAGGGAGAGGTTTCTGGTCTAGGAAGACAGCTGCTTTCCTCAATCTTGAAGGAAAATTATATCCCAGGTTGGGATGAAGGGGAGGGAATCCTTAAGAACTGTTTATTGAATAAAAAGGTTCTTCTCGTGCTTGATGATGTGGATCAACTAAACCAACTAGAAAAACTGGTTGGAAATAAAAAATGGTTCGGTGTGGGGAGTAGAATTATCATCACAACTAGAAATGAACGCCTACTAGTTGAGCATGGTATAGAGAAAATGTACAAGGTCGTGGTCTTAAAGAATGATGAAGCTCTTGGGCTCTTTAGTCGACATGCCTTTAAGAAAGATCAGCCTGAGGAAGGTTTTCAGGAACTGTCTCAGCATTTCCTAAATTATGCCAACGGCCTTCCATTAGCTCTTAAAATTTTGGGGCGTGCTTTGTATGGGAGAGGTCAAGATGTATGGAAGAGTGCGTTGTATAATCTAAACAAAATTCCTGATCCAGATATTTTTGATTCACTCAAAGTAAGTTATGATGGACTAAAAGAGATGGAGAAGAAAATTTTTCTGCATGTTGCGTGTCTCCATACAGGGAAGGATAAAGAGCAAGTAATTGAAATACTAGACTGTACCCTTGACATTTCCAGTCATATTGAAATAGATATTCTTATTGAGAAATCTCTCTTAACTATTGACAAACGCTTTCATAGCAACATTGTTGAGATGCATGATTTGATACAAGAAATGGCAAGGACAATTGTTCGTGAAGAGTCTCCCAAAGAGCCTGGTAAAAGGAGTATTTTATGCCATCACGAGGACATTTTTCATGTATTGATGAACAATACGGTAAGAAGTTATTTAGAGATACTATATATACTTGGACCAAAGTATATGCCATTTTTCAAATGAGAAGCTATTTATAGATATTAGACTTTAATGAGATGAGATGAATTAACTTTTTCCTTTTTCTTAATTATATATATTAGGGAACGGGAGCAATTGAAGCCATAGTCCTACGTCTGCCCAAATTTAAAGCAGTGCCCTGGAATTGTACTAAAGCCTTCAATAAGATGCACGGGTTAAGGCTCCTTGACTTTGATAATGTGGTGTTTTCTTCGGGCCCTAAATTTCTTCCAAATTCCTTAATAATTATGCATTGGACTTCGTATCCTTCCAAATCGCTCCCATCAGGTTTCGAACCACAGTTGCTTTATGAACTAAAAATGAGGGATAGCAAACTTGTCCGGCTTTGGGATGGAGCACAGGTAAGATTCTTGAAATACGGCATTTTGTAATGTTTTTTTAATTATAATTATATTGAGTATGATTGTATTGTACCTTGTTTTAACTTGCAAGGTTTTTTGAAACTTATAATTCTACAACTTTTATGCACTGACAGGATTTACCGAATTTGAAATATATGGATCTTGGTCTCTCTGAAAATTTGACCAGTATCCCAGATTTTACACGCATTCCAAATCTTGAGGAATTGAATCTGGCTTATTGTATGAAATTAGGCGAGGTTCACCCGTCTATTGCAGTTCACAAAAAGCTGAAGGTTTTAACTCTTACTTGTTGTTTTAGTATCAAGAGTCTCCCAAGTAAGTTGGAAATGGATTCTCTTGAATCCTTTTGTCTTTGGGGCTGCTCAAAAGTGAAAAAGATACCAGAATTTGGGGAACATATGCAGAACCTGTCAGAGCTTTTTCTACTTGATACTGCTATCGAGAAAATACCTTCATCAATTGAACATCTAGTTGGCCTTGCTAAATTGAATGTAAGTGGTTGCAAAAGACTCTTGGGTCTGCCGAGTGCGATATGCAATTTGAAGTCTCTTAAAATCCTCTATGGGTATGGATGCTCAAAACTTGACAAACTGCCAGGGGACATGGAGTCTTAGAGGAACTTTATTTAAGCGGAAGTGCAATGAGAGAGCTGCCACGTGTTGCTATGAAAAATCTCAAAAACTTACTTGGAATTAGGAAGAGTGTTGACCCTGACCCTCGGCGTTTGGTGTTGTCTTCTCTAACTCATTTAGGGTCTTTGACTGAATTAGATCTGTGTGATTATAATATTGGAGAAGGAGCCATTCCAGATGATATCGGCCGCTTGTCTTCTTTAAAAGGGTTGAAGCTTAGTGGAAACAATTTCGTTAGCCTTCCCTCAAGCATTAGATTCCTTTCTGAGCTTGTGTATCTTGAATTGGAGAGGTGCAAAAGGCTTGAGCGATTGCCAGATCTTCCGTCAAGTAAATACTTATTCGTAAATGTGAACGACTGTACTTCCTTAAATGGGTTGTCAGATCCATCAAAGTTGAGCGAAGGAGCCAATGTGTATGATTTTGGCTCTAGTTGTGTTAATTGCTTCAGATTGGTTGAAGAAGGAGGCTGGATCTGGATTAATAGAATATTTGCAATGATATTGACAATGGCCACCTGTCCTGATAACAGTTTTTTTGGGCCTTCTCATACACACCGTTTTGCATGGCTTTCTTGTACACACCGTTTTGTATGGCCTGGAAGTGAAATTCCAGAGTGGTTCGATAATCGAAGTGTGGGAGATTCAATAATTGTGGAGCTGCCTCTACCTCCACAAACATGCAGTGACTGGGTTGGGATTGCTTTGTGTATTGTTTTTGAAGATTCTGAAACATGCAGTGAGTATGATTATTTAGAAATTTACACATCACCTATGCGTTCAATGGATTGGACACCTATGGGTTCAATGGATTGGCCTAAGTTTAAAGTCGGGCATCTTGGGTCACAGCACCTTTGGGTTTTCTATTTGCCTCGCGATAAACCCAGGCTCAAGGACGCCTCAGGCAGTCATCGGTTTTCATTCGAAGGGCATTATTCTTTAAGCAGATGGGATAATTATAAACATCTGAATACAAGCTCAATTATAAAGAAATGTGGAGCCCGTTTGGTGTACCAGAGAGATTTGGAAGAATTCAGCCGAATTCTGAAAATCCTTATGCCAGCAGCACTACAGGCATCCGATGACGAGGAGGCAGGTCCAATTGGTAGTAGCGGAAGTGGTAGCTCTGATGACCATGATGAACCATGAATTTGGTTGCTCTAATGACGACGATGAACAAGGAATTGGTAGCTATGAAAATGAACCAGGAAGTTATAGCTCTGATGACGATGATGAACCAATCAGCAAAAGATTCAACAAAGTCTAAATTATTTTGTGCTTGGTTCAATCATTCAGTGGGTCTCAATATAATACTTGAAAGGCTAATGACGTTGGTCAATTCTCCGAATTCACCTCAGTAATTCACCTTTTCTTTTCAGTTTTCTTTGAGCTATTTGTTTTAGTTGTTTAATTTGCTCTCAAACTTATTGATCTGACTGAGTTTTTTCTTATTATATTTTGGTTATATAGATTTCCATTTCCAAATACATAAATGCATGATATGCGATAATATTGTTGGGTTTTGAATATTCTTAATTTCAACGTCTTGGAATATTTACTTACTGGAGTAACAGAATCTTTTTCAACAATGCTACTCTTTTTTACTTAGTGTGTTAAAGCTAATAAATTTAGAGTTAATTAGATTTTAATCATTTGATAAGATCAAGTAAATTCTCATTAAAGCTTAGTGTCAAATTCTCAAAGTTTCAAATTTGATTTCATCATAGCATCTCTGTTTTTATTTCTTACTGTCCAACGAGTGCTACCAATTAAATTGCCGTGTTAGGTTTTCTTTTTTGTTTTCGAAATGAAATGGTTCTAGTCACTATGTCATTTGTGGGAGCGTATATATTATTTAAACGGTTTTCATTTGAAACACAATATTTTTTGCCAGCAGTATATGGATATTAGTAGCAACCATGACGCAATTGTTGAGACAATGCCAATCATCATTTCTGGAAACAGAGAAGGAAGCTGTCTGTATATCAGGGGAAACAATTAAAGTGGACTGCTTCAAGATGTCATGTAAATATCTTCCTCTTTAGAAAAATAAAACCAAAGTTGGGAACTTGCTTGGACACTTTTGCCTTGAAATTTCGTTTCACTTTGTTGGTCTTGGTCATTTCACTTTGGCAGTATACTACATGTTTTTCCTTCCTTTCTTTTGTTCAGCTCTTTCTTGCGACATTTCTTCGTTTCTTCTTCAGTTTTCCAGCCCTGTATTTTGGCTCTGTTTTGAGTGGAAATTGTTTTGGCACCTCCACATTATATAATTTCTTTTTTTCCGGAGAGTTTACTTTTTGGGTTTTGTAGAGAATGTGGTACCAACGTTCGAACCCAAGACCAACGGGAGTTAGTGCAAGCGCACTTAACCACAAGGGGAGGTAGAAGGCCAGTCTGGAGAGTTTACTTTGGTTTGCTATGATGATGATTAGAGAATTTGGCTGAGGAACTTATATTTACAGTTGAGATATATGAATTGTAATAGTCCAAGAGATCGGGACTGATGAATTTTTAATAGTCGAAACAAACAAGTTAACTGTACAATGTTATCTGAATTTATAGAGTTAGAAATCGCTACATCCAAATAAACATTTTATAATACGGATACCTACCAAAGTGTGGAATTTGGTAAACATCCATACTTTTCTTCGAGATAGAATAAACATTGGTAAAATAACAACATTTTTAAACCATACAAAACTAACGCGTATAAATACCTTCTTATCCCTGTCCTCTCCCTCTTTTCGCACTTTCGACCAACTCCCCCGAACTTAGCGCTCTTTCTCGCTCTCTCTCATTCCCGCTCTCTGTCTCTGTCTCTCTCGTTCATTTTCTCCATAGAAATCGAACTGAGCTCTCTCTCCTCTGGGTTTCTCTCTCTCATATCAGTTAACAGTAAGCATCTTCTTCATTTGAATTTAGGGTTTATTCTTCTAAATTAAATTTAGGGTTTTTTCTGTTAAATTAGGCTCTGTTTTTATTTGGGAATTGAATTTGTTGAGGAGCATAAAATCCCAACTAAATCAACGTGATTGATTATGAATATTGATCATTGATCTGTACAGATATTTAGTTTATTTCCTTCCTTTTATATAGACGAGTACATTAAGGAATAGTTCATTTAGGCTAGTTTTTAGCATCTTAATTGGCTATTGTATTTGTATAAAGGTTCTGTACCTCATTCTGAATTTATATCAATATACGAATTACCAATTCTATCATGGTATCAGCAGCCTAAGGTTACCAATAATCCTACACAAACTCAAACCCTAGCATGTCCTCTCGCTAACCTCCATGGCGATCAACGACAGCGAATCACCTCAAGCCTCAGCCAAGCCTGAGCAACCCAAATCTGATTCTCAAGCCTCAGCCAAGCCTGAGCAACCCAAGTATGATGATCCTAATAATCCTCTCTACCTTCATCACTCTGATCAACCAGGGGTTGTCCTTGTCACACAACTCTTGAATGACGAAAATTATCCAACCTGGAGTCGCTCCATGCTCATGGCGCTCAACACCAAGAACAAAGAAGGTTTCGTCGATGGCACCCTCAAGAAGCCTCTGCATGATTCTTCCACAACTCTCCAATAGTGGACACGTTGTAATAATCTCGTCAAGAGCTGGCTCCTCAATTCCATCTCCCCAGATATTGGTGCGAGCATTATTTATAATGATGTCGCGTCCGACATATGGAATGATCTGAAGGAACAATTCTCTCACGCTAATAGTGTCCATCTCTTTCATATTGAGCAAGAAATTCATGACTGCGTTCAAGAAACCATGACCATCGGTGCCTATTACACCAAGTTGAAGGGCTTATGGGATGCGAGAGATGCATTTTGCTCCCTTCCATCTTGCAACTGCGGAGCGGCCAAAGAGATGTTCCAATTCCACCAGCACCAAAAGACCATGAAATTTCTTATGGGATTGAATGACGTATACGCTGGAGTTCGAGGACAAATCCTACTAATGGACCCATTTCCTGCAGTCAACAAAGCCTTTTCCCTTATTACCCAAGATGAGAAGCAACGGGCAGTTTCTACTCATGCCCTCGAGAAAACACCAGCCACTGAAGCCGCCGCCTTCGCCGTTCACGGTCCTAGAAATTCCGGTAGAAATTTCTCACCTAAAAACCCTCATCTTAAGTGTGAACGTTGTGATGCCACAGGACACACCTCTGATACCTGTCGAGAACATCTTAAATGTGATTATTGTGGCTGGTGCCGTCACACTATTGACCAATGCCGCAAATTGAAGAAAGCTCAATCTAATAGCGGCAACAGTGACTCTCAAGGTCGTCAGGGGCCATTTTCTCCTTCGGTCCATCATGTTGACACCACTCCTGTGGCCACCGCAGCTCCTCCATCATACAACCTCACCGCAGCACAATACCAGAGCTTCCTTGCTCTTCTCAATCAAAACAAGCCCACAGTTTTGGCTAATCATGTCAGCACTGCTTCCAGCACCAGTGATCTCTCAGGTAACACCTTCTGTGCCTCTGCTTTCGTTGGTGGACTCAACTGGATTTTTGATACTGGCGCCACCGATCACATGGTTTGTTCGCCTAAGTTGTTGACTACATGCACTCCAGTCTCTAATCGTCAAGTGTACCTTCCTGATCATGCCTTGCCAATGTCACCCACATCGGCACTATCTGTTTCTCAGATGATTTTATTCTTCATAATGTGCTTTGTGTTCCCTCATTTAGATTAAATTTAATCTCTGTGAGCAAGCTCACCAAAAGCTCCTCTTGTCTTGCAATGTTTACTAATGAATTTTGTATTGTTCAGGACCGACGTTCGGGGAAGATGATTGGGACGGGAACTGAGAGGGAAGGTCTCTACTATCTTGATACTGCGAAGACAGCCGGGTGCAATTCCGTTTCAGCCGTTGTTCCTTCTTCTTCTCGACTTTGGCATCAAGGCCTTGGTCATCTTTCAAATAAAAGCCTGCGTGCTCTTTCCTTTTCTGTTAAGAACATGAAATTTTGTGACATTGATGATTGTTTGGTTTGTCCTTTAGCTAAACAAACTCGTCGTCCGTTTCCCTTGAGTTCTATAAATTCACTTGCGCCATTTGAATTAATTCATGATGATATTTGGGGTGGTTATCACGTTCCTTCCATTACTAAGGCACAATACTTCTTGACCATTGTAGATGATTACTCCAGATGTACATGGGTTTATTTAATGCACCACAAATCAGATGCACGCCAAAAGCTCACTACCTTCATCAACCTTGTTGAAACACAATTTTCTTCCCAAGTTAAAATTGTTCACAGTGACAATGGTCTTGAGTTTATGATGACACAATTTTTTTCTGATAAAGGCATTTTACATCACACTAGTTGTGTCTCCACTCCACAGCAAAATGGAGTAGCCGAAAGAAAACACCGACACCTTCTCAATGTTGCACGAGCTTTACTCTTCCAAGCCAAACTTCCTAAGAAATTTTGGGGGGATGCCATACTCACTGCCACATATCTTATCAACCGCACTCCTACACAGGTTCTTAAAGGAAAAACTCCCTACGAAATCCTTTTTCGTAAACCACCAGTTGTTGCATTCCTAAGAGGACACAAATTAATGTGCAAACAACCAATTAAAAATACCCGCAAGTGAACGAGTCTATTGAAGTATAGATTATACAAGTACGGGGTCGATCCCACGAAGAACTTGTCGGCTCCCTATAAGTTCTAATTTGAGTACGTAAAGAACACTTAATTGACACACCACAAATACGCAAATGCAAAATGGAAACTAAAATAAGTAAAGAAGTGCAAAAGAATTGAAACAACACAAAAAAACTAAAGAAAAACACAAACAGCATTTTATATCGCCATTTTATCACCTGTTTATCACCTATGAACAGTGCCGTGAACAGTGAACAGTGACATGAACAGTGAACAGTGACGGCCGGTCGCGTGAACAGTGACGACCGGTCGTTTTTGGGCAGATTCGT